TCGTTATTCAAACAGAAACCAGGTTCTATTTACACAGGAAATTAAATGTGTTCTTGGATTGGTGGGGGCTACATGTCAGCTGCCTTAACAAAGAGGAATAAAGAAGGTGAATGAGGAGAAAAAACCCAGAATGACGGCTGCATCGATGGAGAGAGGCTGTGACCATGATAAACTCTGCTCTATAAACCATCGTTTATTCAGTTTTAGTGACAATCTTCAAAATTTTATCATTGTCACTAAAAACAATAAAATAATGAAAATGCAGCTTTTTTTAACATAACTTATGGAAGCTAATTAGTTTGCCTCTGTTCACATTTAGCAAAGCTTCAAAGACACAAGGAAGCAAAGCTAACATGAAATATTTATATATATTTAAATTTTTTTATTTTTTCTTAATAGCAAAATCTCACTGTGGGTGAGAATGATTGATGAGTGCAGAACAAATAACCACTAATACATTTTAATTTTGACGGTGGAGTGGCGGCCTAGCGGTTACGGCATAGGGCTTGGAATCAAAAGGTTGTGAGTTTGAAACCCACTCGCACAGACTGCCATTCTGGGTCCCTGAGCAAGACCATTAACTCCACAATGCTCCCCAGGCGTTCCAACGATGGAAGCCCACTGCTCCCCAAAGGGGATGGGTTAAATGCAAAGAGTTCATTTCTCCATTTTCACTGCAAAAACGATCTAAAAAAAGTAAAAATGTCTTAAATTAAGTGTATTCACCATTAATTTGAGTAGGTAAATGATATAGTTTGGAATGAAATGAGTAATTTTACTCTTAAAATAAGATAATTAGATAAAACGCACTTGAAATAAGTCAATGCAATTGTGTTTTTTTTTTATTTTAAGTGTAAATTGTCTTGTTCCACTGCCTCTTCAATCCAAGAACAAATACACTTATTTTAAGAAAAAATTACTTATCTAGATTTCGATTTTTTGCAGTGTTGAGATGCATAAAAGTTTTATTTATGTATTTATTTTATTGGTAGAATCCTGAACTGCCAGCTTCACAGTCTTTTCTGTTTTACCTGGAAGTCTCCCTTGCAGAAATATTTGTAATGTTTGCTAAGCTATGGCAGATGAACTGGATCTACAGGTTCTGTTTCCTACTCTGGGACATATTTGATGATCTAATCGTTCTTCACTGGGAGGAAAACTTCTGAGCCCGTGGGCCTCGGGGCTCCTGGGAGCTCCAGGTCTCCACAGTCTCCAGGGTTCAGGAACACGCTCTAAGTTTGCCTCAACAGCAAGGTGTGTGTTTGTGAGTGGAGGCGGGAAGCACAAAGCTGAGTCTCAAGAGGATTTTTCTGTTTCCCAAAGTTAAAGCAAAACCAGGGTTGAATCCAGAGGGAAAATGTATGGAGTGAATTCTGTTCCATTATTGTTGCAAGTGAAAAATGCATTTTGTAAATATAAATTTGAAAAATTACAAATTTTTTAAATGTAAATTTGTAAAAAAAAAAAAAAAGTGATTCATTTGAAAAACTTCTTAATACAAAAAAGTTTTGGAGTGTAACTTTACTGCTCTTGTAGCGTTTTTGTTTCTTTATTTTTTCCCTGCAGTTTTTCTTTTTGTTTTAAACAAAATACAGACACGCTCTTGACCAATAAAAATATTGCCGCTAACTTACAGCAGAACAATAGAAATGCTTCGTCACCCCAGAAGTGAAGAGAATGTGATCTGTGAAACCCAATTTCAAAAGAATAAAACTCATAAAAGTTTAATCTAAAACCCTGAAATTTGAAAATTAAAATTCAATAAAAAAATAACTTTTAAAAGACATTTGGAGAAAAAAATGAATCTGAGAATACAGGAAAGTTCTTTTCAAAACCTTTTTTTTATTTAGAAATCATGAAAAATTTTACTTCTAGAGTTTTTTGTTTTCAAATTTTCAATCTACAAATGGGTTCTTGCAAAAATAATGGAGAAAACTTCACTCCATATGATACGACCTCGTCTTTACAAGTAACTTTTAACCTGCGGGTCCAAAGGCGTCTGAAATCGGATTCCAAAACACTGAGGAAAAATTTGCGACTGTGCAGCGTTTCCAGATGCTTTAGGCGCTAAACCTGGAAGCTACAGGTAAAGCGCCCCCTGGTGGCTGAAGGTACACAGTTTGGATTTAAGTACTATAAAAAACTAAATTGAATCGGTAATAAAGAGGCTCAGATCCTTCATGTTTCACATACCAGTTATTCACTGATCCCAAACTGGAACCAGGAGACTTTTACAGGAAGGGAAAAATGTTGATATGTATTAAAATAAACCAAAAAAAGCAGATAAGACACCTTCTAAATGATATTGTTGACCTCAGAGTCTGTGATTGAGGTCTTTTGCTACATTTTTTCTGACCGATTGTTGATTAAATTACATTAATAAAGCATTTACTGGCAGTTTCCTCAGCTTGGTACCTCTCTCTTCTAACAGCCACCTTACTAACCGTCTGGGACTCTTGTAAAATAAAAGATCACAACCAAAGTATTTACTTCTGGATCAAAAGGACTGCTGCTGACATCTTAGGAGGAAGATTTTTTTATGCACATGCTCTCTCAATCGACCTTTTTTCCCTGATCCATATTTGACCCAAAGATCAAAAGTATTTCTGAAAATGGCAGCCGCAATTAGTGTCGATTGTTTATTCCCTCTTGATGCAAAAAAGCGAGGTGTGGCGGCCGGCGGCTCCAGCATGGCTTCGAGGCAGAGCGTGCGCATCAATAAATTAACGGGGAAAGCAACGCAGGAAACTGTCAATAGAGGCAGAGGCAGCTGATTGCTTTTTCGGAAAACATAAAGCCGTGATTTGTCAATCCGAACGGCTGTTGAACTCTGACTCTGGGGCCAGGGGGGGTAGGTAGGAGGGGGTGGAGTCCGAATTATAATCACCTCTGCATAAAAACATCAGCTGTTGCTACCTAAACATCACCTCTGCTCTGATCTGCAGAAAATGAGCTCTGAGGTACGATAGTAAAAGATGGGATTAGGGGACTGGTAACGCTAAACTGTTGATGCAGAGATACGGCCTTTAATAGAAACACAGAGGTCCAGAAGAGTTCTGTTCAAAGCGGAACTTTAAACCCGCCACCTTACGCTGATAGTGACGCATCAGACTGATCCGCGTCCTGACAACCTATCCGACAGCTCGAAAGCGGCAGCGGATCGTTCACCCGTGGCTTCGTCAGGCCGTGTCGGTTGGAGGGAAACAAGACAGCTGACGGCAGCTTGACGAACAGATGCACGTCTAAATCTGATTCAAGTATGACATCATCACCTGGGGTCAAATATCCACAGCGGCTTCTGTGAGGAAACAGGAGTGAAAATCCGTCTCTGACACCCAGAGCATGGCCGCCGTCCAGAAAAGCCGACGGCTCATCGGAGGTCAATCGGCTCTTTAATCTATCATTTTGTGTCGACTTAACAATGATTGATTAACTTCTACAAACACTCTGCTGCTGTCGGATACAGAAACCAGTTGAGGAACTGGCCAAAACCCTCCTACATGTCTGTTCACATAGACAGCAGGTAAGTTGGGGTTAAATGCCTTGCCCAGGGGCAAAATATAATATAACAGGGGAAGGTGGAATAAAATCTACGCATCCTGTTTAGAATCAGGCAGAACGCCAGGAGCTTTTCTGATGAACAACAGCCTGCAACCTCCAATTAGTAATGCTCTGCATTTTTGCAGGAGCCTAAACTGATTCTACCTACACATTTTTTAAAGAAGGGGAAAAAGGCCAAATACGACATACATTTTTACCGTTTTTACACCATTCAATCTAACGAGGCTCCAAAGTTTCTATGGAAGACAAACAAGCTCACAGCATACCAGATGCTACGGATCCATTATTGCATATTAATCCTTTGTTTGACATCCAGGCAGGCCTGAGCTATCTATAGTTATGCTGCTATAGGCTTAGGCTGCTGGAAGGCAGACAGACCACCTTTCATTCTACCTCTACTCTCCCATTCTGCAGCATTTACTAGTTCAACCTGTTAGGATTATTTTTCATTAAACCTTAATATTCCCTGCCTGTTTCTAATTTTATGTTCTCTCTGGCTTTGTCTCATCAGAGTGGCTTCATCTGGTATTTTCCTGTTTGACTGTAACTCTATCCTGGAGAGAAATATCAGCAAAACCTTTCATTGTTGATGGGCCTGTTTTTGAATTGAACTGAACCCAGCTTGAGTTCTTGCTGCTGAAAACAGTTAATTTCACTTCAGTTCTATTCAATTAAATCTATTTAAATAGCACCAATTCACTGCAATTTGCAGAGACTATTAAATCTGATATACAGTCAGAATGATAATACATTTTCTACCTTATGAAAACTGTCTGATTGCATCCAGTCATTGACTTTGCAGGATTCGTTCAGTTAGATGAGCGGTGACAGCAGATATTTACTTGCATTGTGCAGTAATCCCTTGCACTGAGCATGCATGCGGCGATAGTGGAGAGGAAAAACTCCCTTTTATCAGGAAGAAAACTCCAGCAGAACCAGAACCAGGCTCAGCGTGTGCAGAAGCAGACATAAGAGAGAAACATAGAAGCACTGATCTACAGAAACTTTCTATGTAGCGCTGAACTAGCTCCCCATGTGGCTCTGTCTGGGAAAGAAACAGTCAATTTATTAGAAGAACTAAAACAACTGATTATATTAGTGATGCTACGACAGAGGACTTTTTTTTCCTGGCATTGCTCTAAAACGATTGGTTGGCCTGTATTTAGCTCCCCTTTCAACAAGTGAACCTGTTTTTGCTCCTAAACCAAACGCTGCGACTCGGCCACCATGTTTTAATGAGTTTGAGGCTTCTGATTGACAGCAGGGTCCTCCTGACTCCACGTTTGGATCAGTTTCAGTCGTGCTACCCGTCAAAACATACCGAAATGGTTTTCTGTGCTACCGTTCTAGAAACAGGATGTTCTGTATTTCAAAGCAACTAACAACCTAAATAAAAACTGTAGTAATTAGAGTGATTTTCCTCTTGTGACCAATCTTACCCTTTGTCCCCAGGTGTGAGGGTGAAGCCTGTCAGAGTTTTGGGGCCTCTGCTGCTGTTGTTCTTCTTGGTGGAGAGGTCCAAGACACCGTCTAAGGATGTAATCAAAGCAGCAGAAAACAGTTAACAGACGTCTAACCTCTTCATGATGTTACAAATAGATTTTGATTTCACGCTAGTTTCTGCTAACGGTGTTATCTTTATTCCAACAAAGGGTAAAAAACAATCCACTGGACTTTGTTTCCAAGTTTGAAGATGTTTCACTTCCCATCCAGAAAATCTTTTTCAATCAACGTGTCAGAAATATTGTTGAGTTTGAGGCTTTATAGAGAATACCAAAAACACATGGAAAACATGGTGTTAGCTCAAGCTAACATAGCTAACAGTAGATCACAACCCATAATATTTGTTTGTTCTAAGAAATATCTCATGTATAACGGTTCGTGAAAACTTTGAGGCAGCAGCGCAGTTTCGCATTTTCACCAGTCAAACGTAAACCGATAATGAAATAACTCTGCTAATGTTAGCCTTCCAGCTAACATTAGCAGTCCAGTCATCTACCCAGCATGCACTGCAAAGGTGAAAAACAAACAAATAAACCTTTAAAAAATGTTAAAAACTTCTAAATAAAAAAATCCTTTGAAAGTAACTTTGTTTTTTCAGATTGCATTTTATTTTTACACATTTTACATTATAAAATTGTATTATTCAAATTTCTCTTGCTTTACAGGGATTGTATTTTTTCAAATTGTGTTTTATAGATCACGTTCTCATCATTTTGGATGTTTCTATTGGTTTGCTGGACGTTAGCACCAACATTTTAATTGGTAAATGTGTGCGTTAAGAAAGAATGTTTGAATTGGGAGTAAAATAAAGGGAAATGGAATTTGAAATGAAAGATTTTAAAAATGTATTTTGGAAAGGAAAATTTACAAAATATAAAACCTGGGAAAAAAATTTCAAAATAAGATTCTTAAATATTTAATTGAAAAAAAAAAACCTAATATGTGAAAAAAATAACACCAAAGTTACTCTTATAACCTTATTTTTCTATTAATACGTTGATTCCGTTTTTTGATATTCTACAAACTGTCTACTTTGCTTGCAAAAATAATGAAACAAAATTCACTCCATACTCAAGTAAAAAAACACAGAGGTTCATGACGTTAAAAAAAACTCCTCATTGCTCTTATTACAGTAATGATTTGTTAAAACTATGGGCTGAACAGAAAACCTCACTTATTAACCCGCTAACATCAGCTATTAATACCCTCAGTAATACTCAGTAGAAAGCAGAACACAGAATATTCTGCTCAATAAGCACTTTTAAACCTCAAATGGATGCTTCTGTGAAATCAATAAAATAACCAGATCATGTTCCACAGTTTCCTTTTTTGTGCAAATAAAACCATAAAAATCTTAAAAATATGTAATATTTACTGAAGGTTGTTATATGATCTGAGTCTCATACCTTTCAGAGTTGCACTGCGTCATTTTAAGCTTTCAGCTTCTTTTTGTTATTGAAAAATGCTGGAATTGGAAACGTTGGCAGCATTTAGAGAGAAGCTCCCCAACCCTGGTCCTCCAAAGCCTTCATGTTTTTAAATGCGTCTCGGCTCCAGCTCAGCTGAATCAATGATGGTAATAAACCCTCAGCATGCCATGAAGTGCAGCTCGAGCCTTTTAAAGACCCATTTATTTTTGTTAGGTGTGTAGCAGCGGGGAAACATCGTAGAAATGCAGAACAGCGTTTGTCCTGATGACCAGGGCTCAGTGACCTTTGCTTTAGGAAAACCACAGTTAAGGTAAGGGTCTAAACTTTATAAAAATATGCTTAGGCACTACTGTTTTAACATCGCTGATGGTGTTATTAGCTCTACAGTGAAAAATGTGGGCGATGGAGACGAGAGCACTGCAAAAAATGTAAATCTTAAGTCATTTTTTCTTAAAATAAGTGCATTTTTTCTTGGATTGAGGAGGTAAGTGAGACACTTTTGATTTAAATTAAGAAAAAACAATTGCAATGTCTTATTTTAATTGCATTTTATCTGATTATCTTATATTAAGAGTAAAAATACTTATTCCATTGGCAAATCCTCTTACTTACCTACTCAAATTAAGGGTAAATACACTTAATTTAAGTAATCTTTACGTATTTCTAGATTGTTTTTGCAGTGGAATGAGCTCTGCAGATGGCCAACGTTTATTGTAGGCAATCATTGCCTTTAAAATGTTTGAAACCAAGAAATCTAGAAGAAGACTAAATTACACAAATATAAAAACAGGAATTTGGTGAGAAATAGAGGTCCATCTGATGTCTGTGCGCAGAAGGTGTCTCCAAACACCTCCTGTATTTATTCTGCAGCACCGTTCCTCTTTTCACATCATTGCTTGTTTCCCCCCCCCTCAGACCCGCTCGACTCCTCCTGATTTTCATCAGCCGTGTTTAAAGCCTTCCTATACAAGGTTTTAGAGTGCAATCACAATTTGATGTACCTGCAGGAAGGCAGTTACTATGGCAACCATACCATGTAACCGAGGGATATTTAACAACCTTATTGCGGAGGTATTTTCAGGGTTAGTTTCTTTTCTAATTTCAGGTAAAACCATCCGTCTTGGTGGCGTTCCACTGTGAATACTTTAGATCGCTCAAGCTGTGCGCTCTTTGCATTAAGCGTTTTTAAAACTGACCTCCGCAGTGAGACATCCCTGCTGTCAATCTGTTTGTGCAGCTCATTAGAGAATCTGCATCCAGTTCATTAGCGACTTTAGGAACTGCTTATTTTGTTTGTGCATCTGCATATGGAGCTACCTGTTCCTGTTTGAGTTAAAGGGCAGGAAAGAAATGCTCTGCTTCCCATCGCGTGGGCTGTCTGTCACAATGATGTCTGGAAAACACAATCTGCACCAATCTTGTTTGTGATGACTTGGGTTATTTGACACAGGAGGTCATCGCTCAAAGAAAAAAACGATATTAGTCAAAGTTTTCCACTTCTAGTTGAAGATTTTTGTTGAATTAAGAAAATTCGTAAAGTTTGTACTGGACTGGTTGGCAGGCATGTTAGAGCAGGGATTTGAAAAGTGGGGGTCAGGACTCCCAGGGGGGTAGCAACAGAGCAGGGATGGGAATTGATTGCTGGACAAAGTATACATCGGAATACATGAATGTGAATGTCCCCTGAGCAAAGAACCACTATTCCAGAAATCAAGTGGAAATTATTACTTATTATCAATAATTCTATTACAATGGTGAAAATTATAAACGTCAAAGAAAATCCAAGTCCGAAATTGGAGCGTAGCGCGTCTATATGTCGTTGTCCACCTGCAACCTTTGAAGTGCAACCCTTCTGCGCATGCGCTTTACCACAAGATAGGATAGAACGCCATATGGACGCGCTACGGTGGGATTTCTGACACCGGTATGGGATGGAGGGAGGTGGCAGCGCTATCTGGTGTGGCTGCTGTCTACCGACGCCTACAGTGACGGAGTCTATCTGCTGTCCAGAAGCTGACCTGGACCACTTACTGCGCGGTGAGTTGGGCTTTCCCAATGTTTGGACATTTAGATTGCTTTGCTCAGAGGTGGACGTTTTGGAGATGGCCATGCTGTCTCTAAAGGCAGGTGGAAACATTGAAGCGACCGAACATTTCACAAATAAAGATGTGGGATGGTAAACTGGCTCCGCCAGATGGATTTGCTCCGCATATCCATCTGGAAACCTTCGGTTGAAGTAATTTTGGGAAGGGGCAAAAATACTGGTTAGCTGATTGGCCTATGTTGGTGAAGAGGAGCCAATTGATAGATCAAACTCTTGCCGAAACCAGTCGGGAGAAGAGCAAAAACATCTTTTCCTCTGAGAAAAGCCT